ATTGACTTGTGCGTGTGACCGTCCGCCAACGTGACTTGCGTAGGCTGGGACTTCCTCCGGACGCGTGGGCCAAGGCCGGCGCGCACCATGAAGTCCTGGCTGATGTAGTTGTGAGACGCTCCGCAATCGATCAAGGCACTGCAGGTCGCCTCTCCGATCTGAATGCGTATGAATAGCAATGGTGCGTCGATGTCGTCGTACCGTTGCGTCTTGAACTCGCGGTCGATCTTCACGATGTAAGCGTGAAGGTCGACAACCTCTACTCCGACGTCCATCAACGGAGCTGGTACTGCAGTGTGCAAGTAATCTCGCAGTTGTGCCATGAGCACATTGAAATGCGGTTTCGGCAATCGAATCCCCGTCGATAGATTGCGGCGAAGGTGCCGAATCGGTTGCCGATGGTAATGAAACCGTGCATACGATGGATTGTTGCACGTGGAGCGGTTGGTCCAGCGGTGGAACCAAGTGGACAACATAGTCCTCGTAAGTGTAACGAGAACCTGCGACATTCGCGTTCTCCCCAGATGTGCAGGAGGCCGCTAGCAAGGCGGCCGAATCTGGCGGAGTAGAAGGTGGAGTCGCCTCACCTTCCGCGGAGCTCAGTTTCCCGAGTTGAGGCGGGGKCGCACATCCTCCTTGCCCTGATCCTGGCACAGGGAGGTCTTGTGCTTGGTGTTGTTGCACCAATAGCAGCTGCCGTAGCGGCCGCGGACCTTGTACTCCGCCTCGGTCAAGCCGAACTTGACCCATGGAACTGGCTGTCCATTTCCTGCCTGCGATGCGGATTTCGCCTTCCCATTGTTGCGGGACTTGTTGTTGCTTCGCGGCTGGACAGCAGCCACCTGATCTCCGTCACTTGATGTTGGAGTGGCTGCTGGGTTATCTCCACTGTCCTGCTGGACTGCAGCGAAGTGCTGCTGTCGCGGACCAGTTCGTACCTTCTCCACATAGGTCGGCTGCCATGGTGACTTCTCGTGTGCAGCTGACCTGTTGGTCTTGATGATCTCTCTCGCCTTGTCGATAATCTCGGCGAAAGTGGAGTACTGCTCGCGATCACCAAGAGCCTGGCTCAATGCCGCACAGGATCTGTTGTAGAACTCACGGCGTAGATGCGTGAATGCCAATTCCAGATTGGGCACCGCCGCAATCTTCTGCCACTCCGTGAGCCAATCCCGTGTTGCCGTGTTGCCCTGTGACATGGTGAACAGACGGTTGATGGCAAGAGTCGGCGCGTCGTCGACGATGAACCGCTTCTTCCACAGCCGTGTCAGTTCCTCCCATGTGATTTTATCCTTCAAGTCCGGTACGTCGACGCCATGATAGGTTGCCAGGTGGCTCAACCAGGTCTGGCATCCGCCCTTTGAGTTCAGGAACAGGGCGCCGATGTAAGCGTGCTTGGCGACAGGCAGAATCCTGAGTTGCGTTGTGAATGCCTCCCACCAGAGGACCGGATCCTGTTGTGTGTAGTCGTCGAACTTGTCCAGTTGGAAAGTTGGCATCTTGTACATCTTCGGATTATCATCCGCGTTCGTCGACTGCAGCTGCTGGAACTCGGTCTTCAAGGTATGCAGCTGACTGCTGACGATGGTTGGCGCAGCAAAGGTGCTGATGTCGCCAAGCATTGCCACTACGTGGTCAACGTGTTCCTCCAGTTGGCGGCTAGAGGATGCACTGCTGGAAGCTCCAGCATCTTGTCTTGGTGGAACTTGTTCCAAGTCATGTACACGGGCGTCCAGTGCCCGTGTGGCATCCTCGTGCTGAGTCTTTTGGTTCCGCACGGCCCGCTGGAGGTTTGCCAGCTCGGACTGTAGGTGGTTACATGTGTAAACCAACCTGCTCACGAGCTTGGCCATGAACTCCTTATGCTGCTCTTCCGGTGTTGGCTCGTCGCCGTTTGGTTCAAAATGCCAATACTTGAGTTTCTCGATGCTGCTGGCTTCATGCCGCTGCAGCAGAGCCTGGGCTTCCTTGCGGCGAGCCTGGGCATTTGCGTCTGCTTCGGCCTGTAGCCGCAGCTTCTCTGCTGTTGCCGCTTCATCAGCCTGTAGCTGGGCAGCCTTGACTGCCAGCTGGCGTTGTTCCCCAGCCTCGATTGCAGCGAGCTGAGCATGGACACGCTTTTTGTAGTCGGCAATGGGCTCATTGGCCAGTTGGCCTGGCAGGCCCGTCATGTTGCTGATGTGGCACTGCTGACGTGGCACTGTGTCTGACGTGGCACTGCTGATGTGGCACTGTGTCTGACGTGGCACTGCTGATGTGGCACTGTGTCTGACGTGGCACTGCTGATGTGGCACTGCTTACGTGGCACTGTCTGATGTGGCACTGCTGATGTGGCACTGCTTACGTGGCACTGTGTCTGACATCACAGCTGACGTGGCACTGAGTCTGACGTGGCACTGTGACCTGGCACTGAAATAGTTTTCACCTTTGGCAGTAGCCGATGCAGATCCCAGGGGTCGATCCTTTGACCTCAGCTTACCTGTGTACAGTATCTGCACAGTTCCCTGGAGTTGAACCCGTGACCTGCACGATAGCCAGTGGTAAGTAGGTCGCTGT